GAAAAATGGGTGAAAAATCATCATGGCTGGATGATCAGCAACCATCACCTATAATAGAAAAATTTAAGCTTGACTGCTGGGAAATCCTTTCGTGGTACCTGCCATAAGAAATTAAGGACCATTTTGGTCATTTTAGTAAAATATCTGAACAGGGTGCATGAGGCAGGTGTTTTGAAGAAGACCTGCAGGTTGTGGAGAAGGTGGCAAGGAGGGCTAAATGTTCTAAAATAGACAAAGGACATCCCTGTAACATACTTTGAACTGCAGAGGAGAAATGCTGTTTCCTTCAAACACAACATTCACTGCTGCTCAGTAGTGGAGGAGGTGATGCAGTGTCACTTTTGGCAGAAGCATGAGACAGATATCTGCAGAGGGGGAAGGTAATTTGGTCAGTGGGAGGAGGCTTCAGCCACAAAGGTATTTTAGAGCTAAATTTGACCAATGTCAAGGAATCGTCCAACACGTGCTGAGCTTTGCTGTATAGCTCTAGGTGATTTGGGATGTGCCAAAGTGAACCAAGGCATCTGGTTTCATTCAGCTGGAGCCACAGTGCTGGGTTTTTTTGTGGTTGGATAGGTTGAAGAAATAACTGCAACTCAGAGGCAAACCTGCCTCCTTCCCACTGTGTGTATGGTGCACCCAGCCCTGGCCGGCCACACTTTTGGATGCTCTCACACCCTGTGGGGTTGTTTGATTTCTCATTTCACTACTGGAGCCAAGCACACATCACAGTGTTAAAATTGTGGACTGATTGAGTTGGCACCTTCTTTTCAAACAAGTGCTTTGCTACCCAGAAGCAACGTGTATTTAGGTACTGATTAGTAACAGACCAAGTGAAGTGAGTCGTCGGCACGAGAGCTGCTGGCTCTGCTGACATGGAAGGGAGCTGCCTGCACCCTTGGCTGAGGTGTTGGTGGCTCATATTTCTGCATAAACATCTCAAATAAAGAAAAAAAAAAGGCAGCACTATTGACAAAGCAAAGGCCAGCTCTATTTATATCTGCAGTAAGGCTGTGATAATGAAAAGACGCTTTAATGTGTCCCAGGGCCTAGATGAAACGCTGAAAATGTTGCTTTTAAGAAAAAAATGATAATAATATCCCCTTGAAATCCCAAGGAAATGTGTGTGGTGGACTTCTGGAGAGCAATATCAAAGAAATGAAATAAGAATTGCAGAGCATAGGGAGTTACTGCAGTTATGGGCTTTGAATTGGTTTAAATCTTTGCTTTTAAGCTTTTTTTTCTAAGTATCTCTTTAAAAGTAACACTTTAATGAGAGAGAAAATGTTTTACTGACGCTGAACTGTAACAACAGTGCAGATCTGTCAGACTTTACCTTATTTTGAAGTGTAAATCCTTTCCCTATGGTTGCTTCTGCTGTCTGGCCCCCCTTATGGGTGTCAGACTCCTGGAGGGGACTGGGAGGGGTGGCGTGAATGTCTGCAGAGGAGGACAGATGGGTGAGAATCTTCTTTCAGGAAAGGATTTGCAGCTTTATAGTTAGAAAGGAAAGAAATTTTCCTTTTCTGAAAATCTTTTAGGGTGGTTGGTTTTTGTTGAGGCAGTTGGAAAATCGGAAAAATGTAAATATTTACTCAAAATATCATCTTTCATTTCATCTTGTTGCATCTTTGACCAGCTTTAGTCAACAAGTTGTTTCATGGCATTGAGCAGGTGTAAAATATGGTTCCTGGGGCAGAAAATGCCCTTGAGCACTGCTGAGTGGGTGTGCAGTGTCCCTTTCTACAAGAAGCCTCATCATAAGTCATTATTTTGGCCTCATTATGAATTTAGGTGAATGGCTGCAAAAAGCAGCACTAACCAAGCAGAACTCAGTGGCCAGAGCCCATCACCTCCCTGGTCTTCTCTCCCAGGACAACTGTGGGTCCTCACCAAGACCCCCCCAGCTGGACTCTCTGCTCCAAAACCAGCATGTGCCTGATGCATTTTATTTTAACCTTTCCCAGTCAATACTGTTCATTTCTCACTTGCATTTTTGTCTGCTTCTACTAGGTCAGATTGCTATTCTCATTTAGGTTATTTGATAATAACAAGATACTGTGAAAATCCCACTTGGCAGAAGAAAAGGTGGGCAACGTTCTTATAGAAATGGGAACTGATTTTTAACCACATCATCCAGAAGAGTTAAATGAAGGCAGCAAACTTTAAAGCTTAGGCTATTTGTTGAAGTTGAAAAGGGATCAGGTTTTGAGTCATGGAATTTGGTTTTCTGAAGCATGAATGATGATATTCACCCTTTGCCCTTGGAGCAGGGAACGTGCTTTGTTTGGACCATGTGCAGCCCTGAGTGTGCTGCTGGCACTCATGGGATAACTGTGATTATAAACAATGCACAGATGTACTGGCTGTTGCTTTCAGCTAGTCTGGCCAGCTGGAAAGAGTATGAAAGAAGTTATTACAGACAGGTATTCAGGTGTGAGTTAGAAGACTAAAAGGAAAAGAAATTCTGGTTTATCTGTGTAATTAGGGGCACGCTCTATAGAGGAAAACAGAAAACAAGCAAAAGTATATGTAGTGCATGCACAATTGGGAAGGCTCACCGCTGTAGCTTGCTGGGAGGTAGGAGAAAGAGTAAAGCTTTCATAAGAGTAAAGGTTTCATACCTTTGTTTTGTTCCTTAGGTGCCCCTTTGCAAATATAAATGGGCAGGTGCATTTGTATTATTTATGTTAGAAGAAGATGAAGGTTGTAAGGAAGAGAACCTTGAAACTGGGACACGCCAGGTTTGCCACTGCTCGCTCAGTCAGTGTGTTGGCCAGCCAGGCTGTTTATGTTCCTTTTCTGCCTGAGGGAGCTGCACAAGCAGAGCAGGCAGACCGGCCGTGGGCAGTGCCTTGGGCTGTGGTGTGGGCTGCCCGTGCTGCCTGCGCTGCTGCCTGCTCAGGGGCACAGCGCTGCCACAGGGGCTGTGCTGCCCACAGGGCACAAGGGTGGTGGCAGCTGCTGAGACAGTGACAACCACCCCGTCCTGGCACTTCTGGTAGCCCTGGGGTCCCCAGAGCCCCTCTGGTGGGTGCCTGGGCACTGTGCACTGCCCTGGCCAGCCCACATGCATTGAGGGGGTGGTTGGAAAAGCAGGAGATCCAGGCCAGTGTGCTTGCAGAGCAGCAGCAGCCTGGTTTGGCCATCAGCCCCTGGGTGCCTGTCTGAGAGCCCCAGTGGGACATCTCCCCTTGGGCAGGACCCACAGCCCTGCAGCCAGCCGGGGCTCAGAGCTCCCCTCTCCAAACCCGCCTGCTGAGGCTGGCACAGGCCAGGAGCTGAGCTGCCACATCCCCCTTCAGCTTCAGAGCCACCATCCTCATCTCAGGGTATTCAGTGTTTTCTGTTGCCCAGGAAAGTCAGGAAAATCCCGATTCCTTCTTTTACCTGTGCAAGGACCATTTCGGGCCCCACTTATATCCCTCTTCCTCCTGGTACTGGACAAACAAAGCCCTACAGCCCCTCTTTAGCCCGAAAATGCTCTCTCTCTTGCTTGTTTTTCACACTCACCACCCAGCCAGCTCCTCTTCAAGCTGGGCTGTATTGTCTCTCTGATTTCCTGTTGTCGATTGGGCTGATTTTAATTGGTTTGCATTTTCAGTTGTTTTTCAGCTCATCAGGAAGGATAATTAAAATAAAATCCTGCCCTCCGTGCTCCTCTCCATCCGTTGTAGCAACACCGAGCATGTTAATCTGAGGAGCAGTACAGGCAGGGCTTACTCCCTCTGAAGTGTTTAGAGGCTGGTTGTTAAGCATTACATTATTCAAAATGCATTAAATTGTCCTGAATGAGGAGGAAACATGTCTCGATCATCAAGCTGATGGACATTAGCAGTCTTCCACCACAAGTTTGCTAAATTTGAACTAGATTCACCTACTGCCTGCCTCATTCCCATTCTGAGAGGAAAGCTGTGGACAGGGAACTGGTAAGGAGTAGGAGGCATAAATTCGAGATACCCACAGCTTAGACCAAAAACCTTATATAAATCCTTTGGATTTCTAGACTTTAGAGAAATGCAGTTAGTATTACTGCCTTCTGTTGACCAAACAGGAAAGTTTAACTGGTAGTCGAGGATATGAACACTTAAGAGTCTGGAGGTGGCTTTGAGATCTGAGGGTGGTTTAAATGTTACTGGTGGGGAAGAGGGAGAAGGGGAAATAACACATTTCTCAACATTTCCAGGTTTACAAAATGTGTATGCTGAGCTAAAGGCTGTTAGGATTGGCTCATTCTCAAGACAAGGAAAGCAGGAAAAAATATATATAGATGACAGGCAAGCACTTAAGCAGAGATTTTTTTCAACTTATTACTAATACTTGTGTTTGCTATCTTTTAGGTAAATGTGAAAACTCTTGAAAGTTTGACTATTGACTCATAAAGGATTTTGTAATTAGCATTTATACTCCTTGTATGAGCACCACTATTAGAAGCCACTAGAATGTCATGGTCTCCTGTACCATAGACCTGCCATTGGCACTGTGAAAAGCAGACTCCTGCCTTGCTGAAAACTTGTAATAAGCAAATGTCAGTCCTCCCTAGCTGCAGTTAGTGTAAAAAAAAAACAATGCTGAGGATTTGTGTGAAGAGGAGAGGCTCCTTTTGCATCTGTTGGCCATATAGATGAGCTGGGATTTCCCATCCTCCCTGTGGTTCAGTAGCAGAGCATCACACAGGCAGATAAACCCAGCAGAGAACAGGAGCCAAGTGCTGGGACAGGCACACGCCGTTGCTCATTCCGACTGCCAAGCTGCCAATTACATGGTGATTAGTAGAATAGGTGTCTGAGATATGTGTCCCCCTCCCCAAACATTTTATGTTTTTGTCATTGTTCAGGGGGCAATGTGTCTCTTTCCAAGCTACCTTGACTTTTTTTATTTGCTAGCCTTAGCCAGTTACAGGGTTTCATTAAACCTCCAAGCCAGCTAAGCCCGAGGAGCCCTTGCCCTTGTGCCCTTGCCTACGTGACTCTTCATTTCCCTCCTTTTGTCTCTCCCAGAGGTCAAAAATAGCTGTCTACGAGAAAATGTGGTCGTACATGAAGTCGGCCGAGCCTTCGGTGTTCACCAAAACGACGGCGGACGGGGTGGCGAGGGTGCGGAAGTCCAAGGGGAAGTTTGCCTTCCTGCTGGAGTCGACGATGAACGAGTACATCGAGCAGCGCAAGCCCTGCGACACCATGAAAGTTGGAGGCAACCTGGATTCCAAGGGCTATGGTGTAGCAACCCCCAAAGGCTCAGCATTAAGGTGGGTGGAATAATATAACAATATCCATGTTGTTATAGTATTCCACCTACCCTGATGTATTGTGTTGTCATTTTCTTTCTTGTGGATTTTGAGGTAACTTTAAAGTTTAAAATCTTCAATATTCCATGGAGTTAAATAAGACGGTAAATTATGGTTTCATTTATTTAATGCATCCATTTTTTGTGTTCTCTTCGTGTTGTCCTTTCTGATTGTTTGTTGCTGTTTTAATTTTACAGTTCAATGGCTTTTTCAATTTAAATGGTAAAAGCCAAGTTAACCTGCCATATGTGACGAATGTTAACTGCATGATGTGGTGTTTTTGTTACTTTTTTTCTCAAAGACGATTTCCCCATCCCGCACACTTCAGTTTTGAGCAAATGTTATCCTCCATGCCACCTTCCAATATTTAACCCTGTATTTGCTGTACAGACATTTTGATAGCTCCACGTTCTGTGAAATTTTAGCCAATTTGTCCTCTTGTGCTCCTTTTTTTATACGTTACGATTTCCTAAGCATTTGTGCATTTTTTCTTACAAGTTATGTTTTATCGTTTCAAGAAATGCTGTTAACCTGGCAGTATTAAAACTGAATGAGCAAGGCCTCTTGGACAAATTGAAAAACAAATGGTGGTACGACAAAGGAGAGTGCGGCAGCGGGGGAGGTGACTCCAAGGTCAGCCTCAATGTCACCACAATCGGGTACCTTAGCAAAGAGTAATCGGCAAGGCTGTTATTTCGCTTCTCAAGAAAAAAAAAAAAACAATCCCAAAAAAGAAAGCAGATGAAAACCTTTTCACTAATTGTGGTGGGGGAGAAAAAAAGCCATTTTCTTGCTCAGTAGCTCTTTCAAAGAAACGGTCTTATTTAATATCATCAGCAGGCTTGGTCGAGCTTGGAAACCTTATTTAACTAACAGATAGAAAGTCCAGTACTGGTGGGATCTACTCCGAGCAAATAAGTGAGGTGACTGTACAAGAAACCAGTGATGGCATCTGGCCTCTGTAATAATCCCTGAGGACAAGGCTTCAGTCCTCATCCATGATGTAGCTGTGATGCAGAGCAGGTTTTGAGAGGCTTTTCTTGCCAGGACCAGCTGTGCCAGCACAGACCTGGAGATGAAAGGGCTTCTTTGCTCTTTGGGGCAGGGGTCAAGCAAACCAGTACCAGCACATGAGGCTGTGCTGGCCTGAATTGGTGCTACGAGAGCGCCTGGGAGGAAGCCTGCTCTGCCGAGAAGAGATGCTGGGGTGGGGCTGTAGCTCAGAGAGGGAAAGGGTGGCTGCTCACCTAATCACAGTGTGGGCCAGAGATAAGAGTTAAGCAAGGATCATGGCAAGTCATAATGTTACACAGAGATGGTAGTCCCCTTTAATGGTAAAACTGTAGCAGCAAGGGTAACGTGAGGAGCTTGTGGCAGGCAAAGCTGAAAGGAGGTGCATTGGTTGCAACAGGGAGGTGTATTGCTGCACCAAACTGGATATTGATCTTAAGGGAAGAGGGTTTGGAAGTTTTGCCAGGAGTATTCAGATGTCACCTTTTGTACGGCACTGACCAGTCTTCTGCTCACACGTGTGCAGGAGCCCTGCCTCTGTGTTTGACGTGCCTTTGATACAGATGTAGGCTCAAATCTGGCTCTAGTCACAGCAGTGGCAATGCTGTCACTGCCTTCTGCTGAGCTGAGGTTCCCCCCAGCCTTCCAGGCAACGTGTTTGGTAGTGAGGCTCATGAAGTTGCTTCAATGAGCTCGTGTATTGCAAAAGTTAACTAATGTGCTTTCCTATTGCCATCCTTACCCTGTAAAACTGGCAGTTTCTGCAGTCTTTAACCCAGTGAGGAGAAGCTGTAGCTAAAGTAGTCTGGGTACTGTTTGTCACCTCGGGTGCTGGAATTACCAAGAAAATTAATTTAAATGACATTGTTATACTGAAAAGTACTGAAATTCATTTTCGTAGTGACACTCTCCTACAGCTAGTAAAACCAGTTCTTTAGGGAACAATAACTCCTAATCTTACTTATAAAAATGCTTCAGCTTTGGTCCAAAATCAATAATACCAGTATTTTCAGTAGACTGCAGTTTTGGACAATTACTGCAAATTACTGCTGCATTCTATTAATAAGACTTGCTTACAGTTGGCTACATTAGAAATTGCTCATCTGGTCATGTCTGATGTTAGCAAAAGCCACTGTGTAATACTGAAGGAAGGAAAAGCTCTTGAATTCAGGTTTGTTCAATAGCTGGAGGTATGCAGTGCTCAGCAGCAGCCTAGTGATGAGGATGAGCTTTTTTATGCTTTTTAGCTCTGCTGCTCATCCTTCACAGAACATTTTTATCTTATGTCATACTTGGCAGTATATTAAATGTTTAATATTCTTCTGGGATCCACCACCTCATTGTCCAATGCTGCCTCCATGAAAGAAAACTCTTTGTGCAAACCAGCTCCAATGAACTTCATTGCTCCAAGTTCATTGAATTAAACTCAACCAGTAAAACTTCCAGCCCTAAGGAAACTAAAAAGGATTTTTTAAATGGTCGTAATTAGGGCAGGACCATCCTTCTATTTTTGGCTTGTTCTGAAAAACCTTTTACAAAGAGTGATATTGTCTATTAGCAAACCCTTGGCCTGCTCAGGAAGTGTTGCAGGAGCGAGTCAGGGATACTGTGATAACATGAGTTGGTACCCAGAGAAGAGGGAAGGAGAGCAAACACATTTATGAGTGTTTTGCTGTTTTATGTCTTTCTGCGGTTTGTTGTAACCCACTGTGGTGAAGGACTGCTGTTTGTCTGAGCTGGAGACACCAGCTCTCGGGGCATGGCTCAGCTGGCACAAGTTCCCAGGGAGGAGAACATGGGTAGGAGAAGACCTCCCACCGAAGACTAAGCTGAGGGAGGCGGAGGAGGGATTAGTTGCTGTTTCCAGGGGTGTGGTAAATCAAAGGGCTTTTTCATTATGGTTTTTCTGTTGAGGTAGTATCCCGTAGGCTCCGAGTGCTGCAGGCTGCGATGCAGCGCCCTTGCAGCAAACAGGGGGTGCCTTCCCTGCAGTGCACTCCCCCAGCACCGAGTTCAGGCCATGTCCCCACCCAGCGGGAGCCCCGCTGCCCTCTCAGGAAAGCTGAGCACCAGTGCTGCCTTCTGGGCTCTACAGCTCCAACAGTCTCGCTGGCCTCTCTCTCCTCTCTGTCCTCCCACCAGAAGTTGCCCTCATCATCTCATCCCGTCTCTCCGGTTAATTGTTTATACGAGCACGGCTTCATTTATAGAACTTTCGGAGGAGGTGCTTCAAAACTGTTCTTTTTTTTCCCCTTAAAGGAGGTGGTAGCTGGTGGGAATCAGAGCAGACGGGGTGGTGAAGGTGCCTGAGGCTGAGATACAGAGCTTGCACCACGTCACACGGGGTGGTGTGGGGACCATTGCTCACTCGGGGCAGCTCTCTCTACCGGCTGAGCTGACAGGCCCCCTCTCAGCTTCTCCAGTAGAGACCCAGGCTTGGGAAATCGCCACCCCAAGTTTGCAATCATCCGCCTGCTACCTACTGCCCATGGGTTGTGTGCAGCTGAAGGAGTCGTTGTAAACTGATAGTGCCGGGTTCTTGAGTTGAATTCCTCTGTGCACTCTGATATTCTAACTCATGCTGAAAGCCAGAGGTAAGTATGCAGCCTGCTTGCCTGTGCCAGTGCCCATCATTGTACCACAAAGGACCCAGTCACCCAGAAAATGCCCTCCTGTGCTTGTCCTCCCTGCGGCCTCGCATGCGGTGTGCCTGTGCTTGGAGAGGAATGATTCTGAGTTGTGAGTTCATCTCTTGTTACCATATCTTCATTGACATTGGAAATTAATCAGTGGCTTCCAATTTCACAAGGATTTTGAAGCGGGAAAGAAGAAAAGGTATTCCATTGACTTTCTGCAATATTTTTAATCTGTTGGGTTACACGGAGTGTAAGGTTAGTCCTGTGAGCTTCCTGTGCTCCTGGGGTTCACTCGTAATTCAAGACTAAAGAGATTGTGCCATTTTAACAAGATTGTTCTAAAGGCCTCAGCTGACATGTGTCTTGTTTTCAGTGCTACCAGTCTGTGCCAGCGCTGGTGTGGAGCAGAGGGTGCCAGTCTGCCCTGAAGTGCCTTAGCTGCCGGTACTGCCCTGGTGAAGGGAGTTACCTAGTTTTTATAGTGGTCCTTATTTAAGAAGTCTGAAGGGGAATGTGCTCTGTCTATATGTAATTTTTCTGGGATACCTGTCAATACGTGTGGGCTGACTTGGCTGGTGCAGACGTTCTGGTACGTGCATCAAAATTTGTTCACTTTGCCCTCCTAAACGAGCATAAATTCAGTTTCATGGCAAAATTATTCTCTCTTCAAATGCTCTTATACATGTGAGATGAGTTCTCAATCATGAGAGAATACAAAATAACAGTTATAAAAAAAATATTCCAGGAAATATGTTATAGTGTATTACAAGTTTGGAAACTAATTATTTTGTTTATTATACAATCCTATCATCTTGGGGCTGAGTGACGGCTGAATAGGAGTTTAACAAGAACTAGACAAAAGGGGATTCAGACGGCAGTAGCAGGCTGAGTGACAAGTGAAATTAATTATTCAGCTGCATAGGAACAATTTTCTGCTAAGATAAATTTCTATAGTTCTGCTGTTGATAGATTTCTTGTATTCTTATACCTTCATGGTAACATTTAATGACAACCAACACGGAAGGAGAATGTTTGAATGCAGCTTCTCGCCAGCTTCACACGCCAAGATTCCTTGCTAATTATTTGACTCAATTTTTCTTTAATATATTCTTTTTTAGGCTGATATCTCTTTTGGAGGGTATCTGTGAAATGACGTGCAATGTAATGCTACTTCATTTTCCGATTGTTTCTTTTTAATCGTGGGATTACTTGTCAAATGTGCCAGTTGTGTTGTGCCCTCAGAGCCACGCCCCATGGAGCATCACATTCCCAAGCCCTTCCGAGCTGTGAGTGCGACCATTAGCAGATGGAATC